AGAGATGGAGTAAGAGAGGAGACAGGAGACGACGACAAGAGACACAGAGGGAGAGAGAGTCCAGGCCAGTCAGTGGTCCTGTTGCCCGACTGGGTGGTAGCGCGCGTCAGAAGGATTGACAACTAACTACTTACTTTACACAAGGGCGAGATAAAGGGGGTGTGGATGAAGTGGTGGGTGGGTGGAGAGGGGGGAATTGAAAGACAGACAGAGAGAGAGAGAGAGAAAGTGGGAGAGAAGGAGGAGAAAGATGAGGGGATGAGGGGAGAAGGAGAAGGAAGAGGAGGAGGAGAAGGAGGAGGAGGAGGAGGAGGAGGAGGAGGAGGAGGAGGAGGCAAAATACCAGAGCAAAGGATGGGTAGTATTAAGAAGGAAAAAGGAAAGAGGACGGAAGTATGTGAAATGAGGGGAATGAATAATAATAATAATAATGAATATCTGGGAGAGACGGGCAACGGAAAGGAATGAAGAAGAACAACAACAATGCCGCATCTGGAATCTTCAGGACCTGTGTAAGTATGTAGATACTAGATGGTGATTGTCTGCTGCACCACAAGATTAATTCAAATCCCACTCCCAATTATTCAAATCCAGGCAGATTCGAAAAAAGCTGGGGTTGGCCCCGGTAGGGATTAGAGAAGAAAGAAGCAGATTGGATGCGGCATCGGCTGCATGAAGACTCCTCTCACACCAACTGTTTGAGATTTGGACTAGTCGGGGTCAGTGGCTTCCATCATGCTCGTGCTTGCTCCAGATTAAGACTCTCCTGCGAAAGTCCGTACAAATGTTGCTTCCTTTCCCATAGTTCTTATGGACTAAGCAGGTGCACCCGCATGCACATCGTACTTAGGTTGTCCGACCTGCATACTGTCCCCGACTCATGATACCAGATACCACCATCGTCGCGAGAGTTCATCCTTACTACTCACTCCGTAGGTAGGCGCGCGATAGTGAGTAGGTAGTAGGTACTACTACTAGGTAGTGACCCCATCGGACCCCTGGGGACTGGCGCCTTCATTGGCTGGGGAAGTGACAGGAGTGGATGTCCATCAGTTTCAGGGTTGGATGACGATGGTGGATTGATCCGAGCCCCCGAGGAGCTGGTAGTAAATACCTACTAAGGTACTATTCTTATTGAGGATAGGCATGCCGGAGCATAACTATGATAATGATAATCCATGATTGCAGGACACACCAACTAGTGGAAAGGGTACTAGTAGGTAGGCTGGGAAGGATGGAAGTATCTAGGTAGGTACCTTACAGTTAGTCGCTGCTGCTTCTGCTGCATCCCAGCCCTGCCAGGCGTGTGTAAGTTACATACCGCCTCCCCTTGCCTGGCAGTGACAACCTGCCGCAGTAGGAGGATGGTGTAACCATCTCCAATCCTGTCAGCCAGTCATTGGGAAATTGGGGTGACTCCCTCATGACTGACAGCCCAATAGTCAGTGGATACTGAATACTACGCTATTCAAATGAGCAGAAGGGACAAAGATTCCTACCCTCCTACCTAGTCCTCCCATCCAGAGGGTTCCATCCCCGTTGGGGGTGGTTCCCTCGTCGGTAAATAATACCCGTCAGGCCCATGATTTGGACGTGACGAGTCACTGCCGTCAGGCCCTCGCCGAACTTCCAACTCACTTCCACAGCTTTCCCCCATCCACACCTTACTGTCCTTCATCACCGCCATGGTCTGCTAACTAACTATTTCATCATTTCTTCTTTCTCGGCCTTACTTCTGTCCGGCCCTTATTCTGCCTCCCCCGTTCATGTGGTTGTGCCAATAGCTCTTTCTCCCTACCCTACTGAAGGAAAGGGTCCAGTTGGTCCAGCCCGCCTCTTTGCTTCATAGTGTTATTGTAGGGGCCCGAAGCACCACCCGAAGCACCACGAGACCTCACCCCGGTAGAAGCAAATAGGCCCGTCCTGCCTTTCGCGCCCTTTCATCCCAACGGAGGGGGATAAGGAGGCTAGAAATATTGAGGGAGGCAAATTTCCCAGAGACCTCATGGCGAGGGACACCGCGCAAACTCCGATCATCCCTCGTCTCCGGTTGCTCCAGGGCGCCGCCAGCTATTCCTCCGACTTCACCGCCCCCTCGCTGTCTGCGCCCTTCAAGCTTGACGAGGGTTACTCCGATGAAACCAAAAGCCAGCCCGACAAGGAGTTCCTGAACCCGTCCCCGGATGATGTGATGCCGCTCCCCGACTGGGTTCATGCTTATGGCGAGGCCGAGAGAGCCGGTGCGTACAACCCCCTTTCCCTGATCCACGTCCGGCGCAAGGTTTCTTTTGTGCCCAGCTCCCTGGTGCGATCGCCCAACTTGCTGACAGACTGTGGCGTTTCATATAGAGCTAGCCTACAATCTTTTACGGACCTTGCGTACATCCACTGTCGCCTCAGTGGTTGAACGACTGGCGCCTCTACTGCACATGGACCCAGTGCTCAAGCTCCCTCCCGAAATTACCTCCGATATCTTTTCCTACCTCGATCCTCAGACGCTGTTGACCGCGTCCCTGGCATCGCGCGCTTGGCGCAGCCGCATCTTCGATTCCCGCCTCTGGAGGGACTTGTATATCAGTGAGGGCTGGCGGGTCGACATTGATGCCGTTCGCACCTACGAACAGGAGCACTCGGGATTATCGTCTCCTCAACTTCGCAAATCGCGGTTGAGATATGCAGATCCGGATCTCGGTGAACCGAAACAGAAGAAGCGCGTACCTCCCAGCTGGCTAGACTCTCGAACTACAGGATCTCTGGATAACAATGAGGCGGTGCAGGGAAATGGGCTGCAGGCCGTTGTAGAAGCAGATACTGAAGGTGACCATCCCATGGGTGATGCGTCGAACGATCGAGGAACGCTGCTCTCTGCCGGACAACAATCGCCAACTTCTAGCACTCAACGTGATTCCCAGTCAGGATCCGGCCATTCCAAATCAAACGTACAAACAATATCAACGACTTCGCGCCGCTCAAACTCATCGCTGCTGATCCGAATGCCCAACGGCGCTGCCAAGATCAATTGGCCATATCTGTATCAGCAACGGAGACGACTGGAAGACAACTGGGCCAAAGGTCGTTTCACGAACTTTCAACTTCCACACCCATCCCATATGGAAGAAGCCCATCAGGAATGTGTGTATGCGATTCAGTTCTCCGGGAAATGGTTGGTTAGTGGCAGTAGGGATAAAACGATTCGAGTATGGGATCTGGACACAAAGCGGCTCTGGCATCCACCTCTCCAAGGTCACACCAAATCGGTTCTCTGTCTTCAATTTGATCCTCGCCCATCTGAGGACATCATCGTGTCAGGAAGCAGCGATAAGAATGTTATAATATGGCGGTTTTCCACCGGAGAAAAACTGCACGAGATTGCCCCGGCTCATGACGACTCTGTTCTTAATCTTCGATTCGATCAGCGGTACATAGTGACCTGTTCGAAGGACAAACTCATCAAGATCTGGAACCGAAATCAGCTCTCGCCAGCTGACAAGGACTATCCCAATGTTTTCCAGGGTTCAGGGGTCTCGTATCCATCGTACATTGTCGACACGAGCGAGATCCCCTCACCTGTACTCGAAGCCGAAATCGCCAAGAACCACATTCGAACCTTATCGCCTTACTCGTTGTTAATGATCCTCGAAGGGCACACTGCCGCAGTCAACGCCATTCAGATTAACGAAGATGAAGTTGTTTCCGCCTCGGGCGATCGCTTGATCAAGGTCTGGAACCTCCGCAATGGCTCCTGCAGAAAGACCGTGATAGGCCACGAAAAGGGCATTGCGTGCGTTCAGTTTGACAGCAAACGTATAATCAGTGGAAGCAACGACGATACAGTGCGCATTTTCGACCACGCCTCCGGCGCCGAAGTAGCCTGCCTACAAGGACACGCCAACCTCGTCCGGACAGTCCAGGCTGGTTTCGGCGACCTCCCCGGGGCCGAAGAAACCTTACGAATGGAAGCTCTTGCCGTCGACAACGATTTCCGGGATGCTCAGCGCTCCGGTGCCAACGTAGATGTCGGCCCTCGTGCCCTTCGGCGTGCAGGGTATCAGCAAAATACCAACGGTTCCCGGAATCCACGAGACATCAAGGCCCTAGGGGCCAGGATTCCTCCGGGCGGAGGCGGAAGTCATTGGGGAAGGATTGTCTCCGGCTCGTACGATGAGACCATCATCATCTGGAAAAAGGACAACGAAGGCCACTGGGTGGTGGGACAGAAACTCCGGCAGGCAGAAGCCGCTGCCAATGCCTCATACAGCAACCAAGATGCCGCCGCACGAAACAAAATGATTGCACAGTCCAACGCCTTTGCCCAGCAGATCCAAGCTGCCGCGGCGGCGGCAGCAGCAGCCGGAGGAGCACAACAGGGTCAGACGCAGGGCCCTGCCGGTCAGGGCCAAGGACAACAACAACCATTACCATCCCGTTGGCCTACAACGAATGCCAATCCGACCGAACAACAGCAAGGGGGCCCCGGCCTCAAGGACCTGCGAACCCCGCCGTAAACCCATCCCTCCTTATGACAGGCCATCACGTCCAAAACCCAATCACCGCCCAACAAGGCGCAAATCGACCACCTCCCATCATGAACCCCGTCCTAGCGGCAGCGGCAGCAACGCAGCACCCCCATCCCCGACTGAACCGGATAGCCACTGCCCCAGCCCAGCCGCCCACCTCCAGAATCTTCAAGCTTCAATTCGACGCGCAGAAGATCATTTGCGCGAGTCAGGATCCAAGAATCGTCGGATGGGATTTCGCCGCTGATGATGAGGACCTAAGAGAAGCATGTCAATTCTTTACCGGCTTGTAATTAATGATCAACCATCAGCATGTGTAGAAGTGAGGTAGAAGGCTTCTTCATCCACCGGTTCATGAAAGCATTTTTAGTTTCATTTCTCTCTCCTCTGCTTCATTCCTTGCCTTCTTCTCCCCCCTTTCTTGATATATTTTCTTATGCATTAGGGGCAATTTTTCCCCCCTTCTCTTACCGTGATTTCATCTTTTGTCCATATTGCATGAGAATATGCGTGTTTACATTTTTCCAGTGGCGCGCTTGTCGCCCTTTCCCCCCATGGATGAATAATCAATGTTGGCCTTGACAGGCTTCATGTGTCTGTTCATATTTCCTTCTTAGAGCATTTCGGCATAGGAGCGATGGAGTCGGTTGGTTCATGTCTTAGCTGATACGAAATGACTACGCCTGTTGTTCATCTATGACTTAGGTAATAGCAATGCCAGCAATTAGGCCTTGTTGTATGTAGTCACATTTCTAGAGGATAGCGCTAGCAGCTTCAACAATCAAAGCAAACAACACCCCGATGAATCATCTTGCATATTTACTAGTTGCCGCCGAGCATCGCCTTTCAAGGCTGGAAAGCAGTTAAGAACCAATTGTATCCGGCGCACCCCATCACAATATATGTGCTGATGATACAACAACCTTACACAAAGTATACTGGTCTTGATGACTTAAGCCGGCATCGGGCTCATAGCCAGGAAGTTGCGAGAAGCAAACATCTGGAGCGACATCCAGGTTTCTGAGAACCACCGTCGCGGGCTTTGGGCCTGGTCTTCAGGGCCACTAGGGCGAGGACGTTCCCCTGCGCTGTCATTTGATGCGTGGCTTCTTGCAGTCACGTATGTGTCATTGGAGGTCGTATTCGAATAAATGACGGTATCTCGCTCATTCCGAGCACCCAAGCAACAGAAAAACCAGGAGTTGACGATACGTAGCGATTGTAGCCAAGGGCCAGTGGGGACGTTAGCTAATCGACATCCTTCTTGTGCTGTGGATACTGGGGGTGACTGCGTGGGTGCAAGGAAGCATGCCGCAGAATCGCCCGATCTCTCAGCGCCTTGGGGAGCATCGAGGGATTCTGTGTGCCTAGACACGCCAGGAACTTGTGAGTGAGAAGCGCAAGTGTGAAAAGAGTCAACCCTGCATGTAGGAAGAGAAGGATTTGCTGAGACAGGCCGTTGTGGTGTGTCCGCCAGAACAGGGCGAGGCAAAGGTAGTAAGCTATTCAGGGCAATCTGGGGACGAGCTCTTCGCATCCGACGGCCCGCGCCTAGATTCAAAGGCTCCACAGGGTCGGCCTGCTCCTGCTTTGAGTCGCGGTGGTCCGCATCGTTCTGCCTAGCACCGCCATCGACGTCGACGTGATCTTCTGGGACTGCAGAGACGGCAGTTCGGTGGAACGGATGATCCTCTAATCGTCTGGCTAGATTCATCCCGTGTCCACTCTGTCTGTAAGGAAAGCGACCTTGGACAGCGGTACCATCTTCTGCCCTTGCCACGGTGTATGCCTGTCGTTTAGGTTGCGTGGGAGTGGATGAAGAAAAACTGAGGAACCTTCGCAGCATCCCTCCGTAAGACCCAGCCCTAGTGCCATTGGAAACACGCCTGCAAGCGTTACTGGCCGAGTTTGGAGCGGGTTGCTGAACTTGCCCACTGATGGTGGCAGAGCGAACCGGATATTGGGCGGAGTAATAGACGGCTTCTCGAGTACCAAAAGATGGGAGCCCAGGCGGAGTGGGCGCTCGTACTGGCGGAGGATAACTGGGAAGGACAGGGCTCACGGGCGAGTCGTGACTTCCAGGCCATTTGAATGTCCTGGAGGTATCATCCGCATCATTGAGACTAACTGCCTTCCGGAGATGCAACGCGTCAAGGAGGTGTTGCTTCAACGAATCGTCTGGGGGTGATGCTACTATCGCCTTCCCTTCGTCTGTGGATAACACACGGCTGTCCAGAGATAACTGAGGATGCCAGCCAGAAGACTGGGATTTCTGTTCCGCGCAATACTTCGGCTCGCGGTTCAGCCGCTGGGCAGCGTCCGTCGCCTCTGGTGCGAGGGGAATGAACATGGCCATATTGGCTGCTATCCTGCTATCCGCATTGCCATGTGTTGGACAACCGGGGCCAAGTCTCGGGCCAGCGTCTTCAGTCCCAGAGTTTGTCCTTAGAGCGTTGAATATAGAACTTTCCTCGCTCAGCACCGATTCTGACAAGGCCACATTGCCGTGCTGTGCGGCTTCTCCAGGAGGGCCACCTTCTGTTGCAAAGGCTTCCTCTTCGTCAGACGAGCCATGTTGGGCAGATAACGCTCTCTGGAACCGAGCGACCATGATGCCATGCAAATGAATCGAGCTTCTGAGGAGATTCACTCTGACGTCCGAGGTACACCGACAAGAAGATGAAGGAGGGATGGGAATGTACGGAAGGACAACAACTGCGTGAAGATAAGTCTTCGTCCCTGGCACTTTCCTGAAGGGGAGGTGCACAACAAGTTGAAGAAGAAGAAGAGGAAGAAGGAACGACCTTGTGCAAGATGAAAAACAACGACAGGAATGAAATTACTCTAACCGCGATACAGCCCCCGGTCACACCCTGCCGGCGCGCGTTCCTTGTCGCTGGAGTCGTACTCATCTGTCCCGACGTCGTGCTTGTGATAGGCGCCTTATTAAAGGACCGCAGGTGGAAGCCGGGATTCTTGCGTCGCGATGCCAGTAGCTGGTCTTCTCTATATGCCCATTGGGATCGAGTACCAAGAAAGAGACGCATGAGGGGTAGTTATTAACAGACATTATTAATGTTTACGGTGAATGAGATATCATCACAAGCAAGCAAGCAAGCACTCATGACGATCATTGAACGGGAATACCCTGACTGGGGCTGGATTTGCCCGTCAAATTCGCCTGCTCTTTCTTCAGATTCCGGATCAAGCTTTCCAGCCGCCGGCGTTCTTCTTGTTCCGCCTGATTTTGAACATTAGCCAAGAGTATACGATGCCAACCAGACCGAAATCGGCTTACCTTGAGGATCTTCATGTTCTCAACGCGCGTGTCCCGCATCATCTTCTTGAATTCATTCTTCAACACCATCGTCGACGTGGTCTCGTAGTGGCCATCTCGCCCACTGCCCATCCAATTGATCCGTTCCTCGTTGAGCTGTGTCTCCAGTTGTTCACAGCGGTCCCGCAGCGCGTCAATGACGCTCTCGAATCTTTCACGCTCTCTCTCGAATTCAATGCTAGCCTTCGTCATTGCTTCGTAATCATCAACCGTCTCCCGGAGTTCTCGCTCTAGTGCCTCCACTCGGTGTTGCAAATCGCTGCTCCCAGGCTTGCCGGCCTTCAGAGCCGCAAGTTCTTCGGCCAGCTCGAGGTTTCTCGTGTTCAACTCATCAAACTCTCTCTGGATGGCAGGGTTAGCCGCGATATCAGCGGCCCGTTGAGCTCGAGATCCATAGGCGCCATCGAGCTCGGCCTTGGCCATCGTAAGCTCGGTTTGGGCCCGTACGACTTCGCCTTCCATCTCCGTCAACTCTGCCTGCAAGCGCGTGGCGTTCTCTTCGGCGCTAGTGCGTGCCTCAGTCACTTGTTTGTGCTGGGTCTCGAGCACCTCCACATCAGCTCGAAGCTGGTTCAATGTAGCTTCCAGCCGGGAAACTTCGCCCTCAGCCTGCGTACGCGCCTCTGTTGCTTCTTTTAGCTGAGGTTCCATATCGGCACGAAGTTGGCCCAACAAGGTCTCCAGACGAACAACCTCGCTCTCGGCCTGCACCCGGGATTCCGTAGCCTCTCTGATCTGGGCATCCGATTCATTGCGGATCTGCTGCATGGTCTCTTCCAATTGCAAGATTTGTTGTTCTGCGCGCTCGTGGGCTTCTGACGCCTCCGCCTTTGAACCCACTTCATTCTGAAGCTGATTGATCAGATCTTGCAAACGTGCAATTTCACTGTCTGCCTGTGAACGGGTTGCGGTAAGCTCCTCCGTGTGAGCATCAGATTGGGAGCGAAGTTGTTGAAGATGAGCCTCGGTGGCCGCCTCCACCTTAGCATCGGTTTCACCCTGCACCTGGACAATCACCCCCTGCAGACGCGTGATTTCACCCTCTGCTTGGGAGTGGGCTACGGTGAGCTCCTCCGTACGAGTGGCATGCTGGGATCGGAGTTCTTCCACATGGGCTTCCAACTGAGCAAGTTCATTTTCCGCCCGGGCCCGCGCTTCATGGGCCTCGGCTTGGGCGTCCTTTTCATGTTGAAGTTCCTTCATGACAACCTGCAAATGTTCAAGTTCGGCCTCAGCGCGTGCACGGGCTTCCTTCTCGGATGTCAAAGCGCCAGAGGTATCCTCCATTTTGTGCTCTTCCTGATGGCTTGCCAGTTCCTGACGCATAGCTTCCAGCTGTTCCATGGCATGTTCCAACGCATCCCTGGACTGCTGACCTTCGCTCTCTGAGAGCTCGAGGTCTTTCCGGACGTGGGCCAGCTGTTCACCCAAGTCCGCGATGTGCGCATCTCGCTCGGCATCTGACTTGGAGTTCAGCTCTCGTTGTTGCTGGATTTGGGTCGTGAGAATGCTCTTCTGTTCAAGCAGTTTGTCGATCCGCTCTTCAAGTCCATTAATACCAGCACTGAGATAGCCGAATTGTTTCGCCATGTCGCCGTGGGACGGGTCTGGTGGAGGAGGCAGGGTTTGAACATGGGGTATCCCCGACTGTTGGATGACGCTGTACAACCGTGCATTAATCTCCTTTAACTGTTGCTCCGACTCGGAGTCGACAGCCCGGCTCTGGGGCAGGCTACCCGAAGGGTTCGAGCTGAGCATTTCCATTCCATTCTCGATATATGCCAGATGTGCTTCGACCGTTGCTGTAGGACTGACTGGACCTTCTTCATGAGAGGGTTGCGGGATAGGCGCGAGCTCATGGTTCGGGTTCGACTGGAGGATCATGTCCCGCACCTTTCCACTCAGATACTCCAATCTTCTTTCCGTATCCTGGATTGCCTCCAGGCCCAGTCCGTTCAAAACTGGCCCCTCCCGTGGTCCATGTCCGTGAGACCCATCAAGATGCTCGGTCGGCTTATAGAAACTCCGATCGTCGAAGTCGTCCACGCTGGCGCGTGTGTTGTGGCTGGAGAGGCTCTCGGGGGTGTCGGGGACGTTATTCTGGAGGTTTTTCTTTAGGCCCTTATGTGTCATCTGCAAAATCCCGGCCGTATGCTCCAGCAGCCTATTGTTGACTTGTTGTACTCTGCGCTCCAGGGTCCAGATCTCCTGCGCCAGCTCTTCGCATTTCCGGGTGCTCAGCGCAAGCTCTTCTTCCGTCTTATCCATGGCCGGGTCATTGGGTCCCAGGAGGCTTCTGCGGCTCTGACGGGAATTCGGGGATGAATCTAGGTCATATTCTCCGTTTGCACTGGGGCTCTTGGACGTGTAAAGTCTGCTTAGCGACATGGCCGCATCGCGCAGTTTCATTTCCAGGGCTAAGTTCCCTTTGGCGGCATTCAACCGACTCGACAAGAACTTGTGTTCTTTTTTCAGTGTCTCAACTTCCTCCAATGACAGGATCTCGTAGTGTGTGCTATCGGTCATGGCGGTTTCAGTCAGCAGGTACATGGCGACAGGGTCATGGGTATTGAGCGGTTCGGAGCTTTGGAGGTGCGCAGTATTGATCTAAGGAGCCGCCGCAAAGGGGTGATTAGTACTGTGTCTAGCCTTGTCGCAAGCAGCGTAGCGAAAGGAACACCAACCGGAGCGTAGCGCGGCTTCTCCGCGGGTTGGGGGTCAAGGGCGTCGCGGTAGCCTTCCATCAGCACCTTGGTTGGGGGCGGTTGCGGAGCGCCATACGAGGCAGCGGCAGCAAAGGGCGTGGGCTCGCCATAAGAAGACTGGCTGGACCGGATGTCAAGGGAATTCATGGTCGTGTTTTCAAGGGTCGGACAACGACAGCGGCCAAAGAATAAGCAGTCCGCACGAACGATCGATCAATCAAGAGGCTGGCGGGTCAGCAGGCAACATCCATCCTTCGCGACAGCCGGAGTTGCCGCCAGAACGATTCTTCCAACCGTACAATCAGCAGTGGAAGAGTGAAAGGGTAGAAGGAGAGAGGAAGACGATGGCTGACAGGACGAAGGGAGCGCAGAAGGGCGTGGTGTCAAGAAGATAAAAGGGAGGCGAGCGGAGCCCGCGATGGATCTGCGCCAAAAGAGGGCTGAGCCGACCGGAAGAAAGGCGGACAATTCGAGCTCGATCGGAGCAATGAATCTGAGATACGCTGCAGGCCGCGCCCCCTGATGGGGCCATGGTCTTGAGAATTACTCCGAGAGCCTAGAGGTGTGGACAGGCATGGTGGATGGGTTTGCGTGTCGAAAGTGATCTATCCCATCGGGCTACTGGGAAGAAACTGGGAGGAGGAAAAGCTGAAGCTGAAGAAGATGCGCGGGATCGTCGCCTCGCGTCCCCGGTTGGTCTCCCTTTCTTCTCCCACAAAGTGTGTACTTTTCTTTACAGAGCACCTGTCATGGAACATCTGGCACTGACAGACTTGTCTGACCATGGATGGAATGTCCCTGGGCAACGGCCATTCTAATTTCTATTATTAAACCAGCGCGTCAACCCCGGAATTCCCCTGAAACAACTAACGGCTCTTCTCTCTGGTTCTGCTCCACCGGGCTCGGATCCGGCTCGAATGAACCACCTTTAATCTGCGCCGGCGGATATCATTCCCTTGATCGATTTGGGGCCTTGGGTGTGCTTGTGAGATGTGCTCATGTACAGTAACTGGTTTTCCTGGTTGACTCTCGACACATCATCCATCGCCAGTGCCTCCATCGATCCGGACACGGCGATCTGCCCGCTTCATCCCATGTGACTGTCGTCTATCTGATCGATATGATATAATGGGCCTATTGCCGAAAAAGACGCCCATCAACAATGCAAGACAGTACCAGAGAGTTCCGATCAAGAACGCGATGTTCAACAAAATGTCTTCATCTCGACGATCATGATCTATTCACAGGCACCTGAGACCATATGGGCCTCAGCCGAGGTCGGATCGTCAAGAGACGCACGATGAAACCGGCTATCATGAGACAGACGACCAGTTCCCAAAAATGAAAGTAGCGGTCGAGCAGTCCCATGTAACCCAACGTTGGGTCACTTCATCCGTGTCTTACCAATGGACGCCATCAAGTCTCGGCAAGAGAATATTAAACCTACGGCGTGACCCCGTGGATGGCTTTCACTGATTGACTGCTTCCTTGCTTGCTTCCCCTCATTTCTCCGCTCCCCTCCAACGAGTTACGCAACCCACCAGTTCGTTATCTCATGGACTCCAAATCACCCCAGGTATCGTTCAGAATGCACCATGGCTCCGCAACTGATGTACCAGCCGAGCTGCCTCCATCGGGGCCCGTCTATAAGGTCTATAAGCGGCGATTCTGGGGTTTGGGACAGCTCGTGCTGTTGAACATCGTCGTCAGCTGGGACGTAAGTACTGAGTGTGCTAACCATGAGAATGAGGTCTATTCTGACTGTCATGATCATCTAGTGGTTGACCTTCTCCTCGATATCAACCACTGCCGCCGAGCATTTCAGGGTCTCCGAGAGCGCTATCAACTGGATGAGCACTGGGTACCTCTTTGCATTTTGTGTCGCCAGCCCGTGAGTTTAGCCCTGGATACCTGCACCTGTTCTGGGTGCCAGGAAGCGACTAGGCCAGACCAGACGACTCACTCTATCAGCGTCGTGATCTTCACACTCAACAAAGGCGGCCCTAAGCCTGCCATCATCACCACCTCTACCCTCCTCCTCGTGGGCAACTGGATCCGATATGCAGGTACCAAAGCACGAGGGGGCATCTTCGGGGTGGCCATGTTCGGGCAGATCCTCATCGGGCTGGCGCAGCCATTCTGTCTCAGCGCACCCACTCGGTATAGCGACCTGTGGTTCTCTGACCAGGGCCGCACCAGTGCCACGGCTGTAGCGACTCTCGCCAACCCACTGGGCGCAGCACTAGGCGAGCTGATCGATTCGTTCTGGGCAACGAGGCCCAGCGACGTCCCGAACATGGTTCTGTATATCTCCATCATCGTAAGCCATAGACCCAACCACCCAACTCACTTACCTACCTACTAACCACGACCTCAAACCCCAAAAGGCCACAATCGCAGCCCTCCCCTCATTCTTCCTCCCCTCCCACCCCCCAACATCTCCCAGCGCCTCCTCCGCCAGCACGGACACCTCCACCCCGCTCCTCCCCGCAGTCAGGCAACTCCTCGGCACCCTAGAATTCTACCTCATCCTCATCCCCTTCTCCATCTACGTCGGCTTCTTCAACAGCATCTCCTCCCTCCTAAACCAAATCCTCGAACCCTACTCCTACTCCGAAACCGAAGCCGGCATAGCAGGCGGCCTGCTCATCATCGTCGGCCTCATCGCCTCCGCCATAATCTCCCCCCTCACAGACCGCTACAAGCAATACCTCCTCACCATCCGCATCCTCGTCCCCATCGTCGCAATCACCTACATCGCCCTGATCTTCGCCCCGCCCAGCCCCGTCGGCATCGCCCCCTCCTACACCGTCTGCTCCCTCCTCGGCGCCTCCTCCTTCGCCCTCCTCCCCGTCGTGCTCGAATATCTCGTCGAAATCACGTACCCCTTCTCCCCGGAAATCGGGAGCACCATCTGCTGGACAGGTGGACAGTTACTAGGCGCGGTCTTCATTTTAATCCAGGATGCGTTAAAGGCCGATGACGGCGCCTCCCCGCCGCAGAATATGCAGAATGCTTTGATTTTCTCGGCTGTGGTGGCGGGCGTGGCGGCCCCGTGGCCGCTTTGTATTGGATGTTTTGGTCGGGATGTTAGGAGGCGGAGGTTGGATATTGATCGTGGGGTGGAATTGGAGGAGGCGGGGGAGGTGGTTGAGGAGAGTAGGGTTGAGGATGAGGGTAGGAAGGGCATTTTTGGGTTGGGTTGAGTATTGCTGGGAGGAAGTAAGTGCTCCGTCCGTGTCCTGGGGCTAGTTAGCAGTTAGTACGTACAAGAAAAGGTGGGGGAAATGATTCTGATGATAAGACAAGCCAAGAAAAGATATGTCAACGAGTGATGATGTGATGCCCTTATACAACCCAATTTCATACCACACCATGTACTCGGTAGACCAACCCACCTTCTATACGCGGAGCATACCGATACTTCCTACCCACCAGATCAAGCATCTATACTAAGAAACACATATTCTAGTCCAAAAATAATATTCATCTAATAAAAACCCAAGGAAACGATATAAAAAGGGAAAAATAAGAAAGCACAGTTTCAAACAGGCAGAGACCAGCTATCTGTACATACACAGTTGAAGGCGCAGCCCGACCTCCCCCGTCCTTCATCTAACATACATCATCGTCGACCGCGACAACACGTAGGGGTGCCGAGACCAAGACAATGCAATGCGTCATCGGCAGACCGCCATCAATAACTTTCGTAGGACTTCCCCTAAGACTAGTTGCGGAAGGACGTTTCCTGGTTGGATCCAACCCATTGGTTCATTGTCATTGTCATTACGGCAACCGCGAAAGGAGAAGTTGGCGGGTTTTTGAGGAGACCCGTTTATTTGAGGGACTTCCAGAGCTTGGGAGCGGCGCACTGGGTAGCGCAGTGGGTGAGGTGGAAGACTGGGAGGTAGGCATGGTTAGTTTGCAGTTATATTGGTAATGTTGGTTTGGTTGGTTGAGTGGGAAAGTGATGTTGGATGGTCTGGGAACAATGATGATGATATTGGGGCTGCTTACACTCCTCAATGCAGTCCTCCTTGGGACCCTTGTAGTCCTCGTCCTCCTGCTGCCGGGTTACACGCTCGACGCACTCATCGTAGTGGTGCTTGTAGGGGGCGCACTGGGCGGAGTTGGCACACTCTGGACATTTGGATTAGCGAAAGGTTCAATTGGTTTAATTGCGATAGGAAGATGGGTAGGAAAGATGTCAATGGCTCGGGAACGCAATGACAAATAGACGGGTTATCCCAGAGTAAGCGGGCATTGACCGACTATTGCGGATCCCGTATATAGCAACAACCCGCGAGGAAAAAGGGCACATAGAAAGAAGGACTGGGAATGACAACTCACCCTCCTCCAGCTGGGGCTTGATGTCCTCAGGCTCCTCCTCCTCCTCCTCCTCCTCCTCTTCCTCTTCCTCCTCTTCTTCCTCCTGCTGCTCCTCTTCCTCGGAGGCCTCCTCAGCGGGGGTCTCCTCAGCAGCAGACTCCTCGGAGGTCTCTTCGCTGGCGGGGGTGGCCTCCTCCTCGGTCACGGCGGGCTTCTCTTCGGGCTCGGCCTCCTGGCTGGTGGTCTGCTCGACGGCCTCGGCGGGAGCCTCAGCCTGAGCCTCGGGGAAGCCGAAGGAGGAGATGACGTCGGAGAAAAAGTCGGCGAGACCCATCCTGAACCGTGGGGATATTGTCAATTGAGGGGTTTGACTGGAGAGGGTGTGGGGGGTTGGAGTGCGGTGCGAGATTGAATTGAGGTTGGTTGGTTTTACGACTCGAAGCTTTGGCGTTCTGCCGGCTCTGGAAAATCGGAACACCCCGGCCGCCGGCGAAGTCTCAATTATCGTCCACGTGATTGGCCCGTTGCTGCCCGTGACTAATGCGGTAATATCATTTCCGTCCCGTCTTTGTTTATGTCGGTATGTGTAGATAGATATGGGTAAGAAGGCAGCCTTGTTTCATTCAATAATAACCTCCAAAGTAGTATACAGGAAAATTAGAAGGCCTCCGAAAGGAGCATATGCTAGAGTTGTGGCAAGAAAAGATAGGAGACAATCTAATCAAAGTACCCCTCCCCTATGTGGTACTACTCGGGCGCCTCAACTAGCCCGACGCAGTCTCTCCTCGAGCGCATCCGCGACACTCTGCTGCTGTACCTCCTCATAGTCTGGTGGGGGCTCCATGGGTTCTGGGCCCGTATCCTGACCGGCGCGATGACTCTGTGGGCTCAACGGCCGATTTGCAGTACCATGGCCAGCTCCAGATGTGCCACCCGATGGACCGGAATACGCAGGGAGCTCGTCTAGATGGATAGCAGACAAGTCGACGTTTCGGGCGCCTCGACTAGTCGCCTGGGTGTTCTCGACAGCCTGTTGCAGACGTTCCTTGATTCTCTCGAAGTTGTTGTGGAAGTCAAACGCTCCTCCCTCTTTGAACGTCACCTTAACCTGTACAGCGGGCAATGATGCGGGGATGCCTCCGCCAGATACCGGCTGGACAAGAGCCATCCACGCATTTGGTCCAAAAAACGGCGCTGTGACATGGGCATCATGGACATTCAAGAGTGGTGCAGAAAATGACTCAAAGTCCTTGGTTTGTTGGGCGGGGATGTAAACGACCTGTCATGGTATGTTAATGGAGACTTAGCAAACGAGCCAATAAATAAGCGATAACTTTCAGAGGGAAATACCCTTTGGTTGGTGAGATATATTTGGCCGGCACTACTCTGAAGGGAGAATGTATCCTTGCTGGAACTGGAACCTAGGGGTTGCAGAGAGAGGCTGGTGCGCGGCGGAGATGTGAAGAGCTGGTGCTCATTGGGTAGCCGAACAAAGCCTTCTGGCCCTTGTAACATCACCCAGCTATTGTATTGGGTATCCTCGTTAGTAGTCATTCCTCGGTGTCATGTTTTTCATGCTAGAGGGGTTTTAAATATATGCATGCATAAAAAGAACAAAAGGAATGGTAGAAATCGAACGAAAATGGGACCGTTCCGTTTGCTACAACAACATGAGAGTGAAGAGTTGATGAAGAGTTCATGAACTGAAGGCATGCAGAGCGAACAATAGGAATAGCGCAGGCGAGGTGCTGGGGTACATCTACATACTTGATCGACATATTGTCAAAGCCACGAGATATAGGATATGGTCCGTGTGACGGAGTGCAGACTGCGTCGGAATGCAGACAGATCTCGTGCAAGTCAAGGAATATCAATCCGTGATGACTGGAAGAATGATTTCAGAGCGCAGGGTGAAGCCAAGGCCACATCGGGCTGAAACAGTCCGCCAGTGGGTAGCACCAGGTTTCAGGACAAGACAAACAATCTAGGAGTTTCCTCGCCAGTTCACAGTACAGAGCCAGTAAATAGTTAGCTAACGAGGGCCGGTTAATGTGGTCCGATAGTGGATGGAACGACCCAAGGCAATCAACTGATATCAGGCCCGGCCTTGCGGATGTCCAATCTGTGGATTGTGGTGCACCCCGGAAAAGGCACAGGGGGGAACAATGAAACAGAGCAGTTTCAGTGAGATTCGTTAGTACAGCCAGCAACAGATGCAACAAATGATCTTTCCCTGACGCTTGCGATGACGCCCAGGGAATTCTGAAAGAAAAGCAAGTCCGTGAAGCCCGAAGGCGGGAGTCGATCCAAGTCCGCGGGGCGGCCGTCAGGCGGGGAAGCTCCCAAGTCCCAATATTTGCAATATGCTCAACTTAGGGAATCTCGGTTCGAGCGGCTGGACGGACGGACGAACTGCTTCTCAGTCGTTCGGCTTACGCTACAAGATGCATTCGGTGATACAGATGGTGAAAAGTAACCGGGGTGGGGGTTTCCTCTCAAGACCTTATCTTATTCGGTAGTATAACTGAACTGTTTGGCTGCATGGAAGTCCCGTCCGGTTGCCCGATACGGAGCCTGCCGCTTTTACGAGGGCGCCACGTGAGCCGACCGTATCCCACTACTATGCTTCTAGGTGCTTGACAATGCCTTTTAGGGGCAATTCGATAGATGATGTGGAAAACGTGCTGCTACATGCTTATTAAACACCTCGAGACGTGGCTGACTACTATAAGCGAGGTTTCTTGGTTTCTTTGTGTATAGCTGGGGATAGTGAAGTGTCAAAGAAAGTAAGTACTTAGTGGCGGATTTCTATTTGGGGATGGGGCAGAAATTGAAGCTTAGCATTGGTCGAAATCAATGGGCAAATCATATCTTTGAACTGAATACTACTATCATTTTCTGTGGCTGACTATCTTCCTCTTTCCCTAACTCCTTCCCCTCTCGATTTGTATGCTAGATATGAGCAACCGACCAGATAATGAGCTGTATCAGTTCTATCAGCTCTATCTGACGCAACAAGAACAAATTCGGAAGATGACTTTTCTAGAGCCCATTCCCCACCATCCTGAATCTCTTTCTAGGCGTTTGAAGGTTGCACATCCATTCGCTTGTACGAGGGGAACCTTACGGCCGCCCACTGAGAAGTTGTGTCCCTTGCGGTTCGAAGCCTGGACAGAGAGGAGATTTACAGCTCTGTTTGCGAGTTTCTCGCGCTAAGTGAAGGAGCTATAATAGAATGGGGATAATGTTGAATAACTGAATGAGTCTCAAGCCCAGGCTCAAACAGGTGGGGTATCATGTTCCAGGTCTGACGCATTCTGCGTTCATCATGACAATGATACTGATACACCCACTCTTCTTACTACAGAGCTCTACAAAGCTCCCCACCTAAGTAACCGAGACTGCCAATCTGGTTAACGAGCTTTGATTGCATTCTGTATGTCCAGGGTCAAAAGTCTACAACCAAAAAAGATCTTCTAGGCTCTGGGCGTTATCCACAGAGTTATTCATGCTCTGATTATAGAGGAAAATCACCAATTCGGACCCAGGCGCAAGATAAATTATGCAAGGCTACATCCAGCTGTACAGAATTCACAGACCCTAACTCTGACCCAAACGTCACTTTAAGCCATATCGCACCCCCTGCGTCATTTGTGACTGTTCCGCAGTCAAAGCGTCGCAAGCATATTTGTACTCAGAACTGCCTCCTTAGTTTAAAGAAGCGTGGCGAGCTGGATAAAAAGCGTCCAAATGTCGAGCCATCGTCAGATCGGTAAAAGCAAACGGCACCTTACCACCGCTTGGGGCGTGGTGAGACTGATTGAAGATCAACTAAATGAATGTATCAGACCGCTCCATTGATATGAGAAAATCCGGGGCATCCGGGGCACCCTTCAAGCTCACCTGCACCAAATACATTTATACGATTTTCGGAAAAGGAATCACTTGCCATATGTGGCCGGAGCCATTCACCACATGCTACTTATGGGTTGGGGGGGGAGGGGGGTGATGTGGTTGACAAAACAGATATTGATAGTGCGATCAGGAAAAGAAGTATATCCAAGTCTGTGAGGGAAATCCGTACATTGGGGGTCCTGCATCAGGATCTTCGCTCCGACAATATCCTTTGGAACACTGAACTGGGCCGGGCTCTGATCATCGATTTCCATCTTTGAAAGCATGATTCACCACAAAGGACAAGGGTCCGAAAGGCCTCTATGGATGATCAGTATTTAGCAAGGCAGTTACAACCTGCAGTTGGTGTAAAATGAGCGAACTCTTGCATCCCCATAAAAATGAAATATTAAACTACTCCAACTAGATGTATTGAAAAACGTACGCGAATAACATCTACCAAAACTCTTTGTGGCAAATGATCACTCTTTCATGAATCAAAACACTGTGGTTCTTGTCTTATTATTCACCAATCATGCATGACTATACTTTAGTAGTATCGCTCCTCTCATACTTTTTTTTATCTTGTTATATCTTCAGGTGCCCGCCTCATTCTTAAAAGTTGAAAGGTTGGACATCGAGCATGCCCTACTCGCGGTGCTTGATGATGTCAATCTTTTACATCTAGCACCCTACAATCGACATCATGATTCAATTAATTTGCCAGATCGAAGGCCCAGAAATCCCATTCAATCATTATTTTCTGCATGGGATGCAACGTTTGTGGAAGCTACGTAGTACTAGTAGTCTAAGCTCTACTAACTACTAACCAGTTAACTAACTAACTAGTTAGTTAATAACCAGGCTGATTAAGCTACTGAGGACCTGTGCGATGTCGACAGGCGTCGGCCTCGGATCACCTTGATCATCGGGGACTAATCAACCTGGACAATTGGTATATCTGACCCTTGTCCCCTTCTTACTTCAGTCCAAATGACAATGGATGGCGCTGTGTACTGTGTACATATTGTCAACCGCAGAAAGCCCACCGACAGACAAGTGTATGACCTGATTACTGTCCGGGATGTATCGAACAGTCATCTACTCCGTAGATGTGTTTGTTCCTTTCTGGTATCCGCCTGCATGGTTTGTCATGCAAGCAGAATCACACAGGCGGCGGCTGCATAATTGGAACCAAGCTTGTCAGCTGACAAGGACACAAGGACATCTTTCCTCTTTTCTCCCCTCCAAGGCAAACGCGGTGTTCTTCGGCTGTACGGAGTGGCTGGGGGAAATCAGCGATCTTACGGCACTGCTTGGTCAACCAAAATAATGAGGCGATGAATTCCTCAGGCATGCCCTGGCCAGCCTGGGGCCTCAAAGGCGACGACCAGCGTTTACACGTGGAGCAAACCGTCCGATCCCAGTCACGGCCGACCCACACCGTCTCCCATCCAGGTTACGTTTCCCATTCTGTACTCTTTCCTTTGCCTCTTGCCAATTCTCCTCGCTTTCTGCCGTCCCAATCCCTACTCCAGACATTTGGCAGGGTTCCGTCGCTTCTCAAGGCCCCCTGAATCCAGAACACCCCCATTTCCCCCGGAAGATCGACAGAACGAACAAAAAAAGAACAGTGTAGCCTGATGGGCACGGCCCTACCGGGAACTTCCCCAAGCTTATACTACTCTCTCTAGCCCTCCGGTGGCTGTCAGCACTTCCATATCCTTTGCGGCCTCAGTCTGTCGCTTTCTTGGTTTATCTGCGACGGCAATCGAGAAAATAACTGCGCATCGGCCTGCACGACACGACCTTCCCCGTCCTGCATCGTGAAACGTCTTCCGCATCATTCGCAAACTCTCACAGTCAGCCCTTCTTCTCTAGTCGGAAGAGCTTGTCATACCCTGCTTTCTACGCTTAATAAGACACCATGTCGACGTCGATTCATCTTTCAAGGTTCCGGAAATGGCTGCTCGCTTCTCCGCCAATCGAGTTTGCCATAGGACACCTCCGGGATTTGTTGGTAGGAGCCATCCGACAGGGACCAGTTCCACAACATGTCGCTTTTGTCATGGATGGCAACCGGAGATTTGCCCGGACGCACGGGATTGAGACTGTTGAAGGACATAATCTGGGGTTTGAGGCTTTGGCAAGGGTGAGTCTGTCGGTGTTCGCTTCGGGTGCCCATCCAATCAGGTTACTAATTCATACCCCGGGATTAGATTCTGGAAGTCTGTTACAAGAGCGGTGTCAGAGTTGTTACGATTTACGCCTTCAGCATCGAAAACTTCAAGCGCTCAAAATTCGAGGTGGATGCTCTGATGGAATTGGCTAGGGTACAGTTGTCGCAAATGGTTCAGCACGGGGAGATCTTGGATCGCTATGGAGCGAAGGTCCGGGTATTGGGTCGACTTGACCTCCTTAGGCCGGATGTTCTCGCTGCAGTGAACCGAGCCGTGGATATGACAAGTGGCAACGGTAACTGCATCCTGAACATCTGCTTTCCGTATACATCGCGCGACGAGATCACTTCGGCCGTTCGAGAAACCGTAGCCGAGTACAGCCAGCCTCTCCCGTCGTCTCGCCCTTCAACCACCTCCTCCAGGTCACCCTTCTCCGAGACTCACATCACACAAAATATTCGAGCACAGGCCCAGGTTGTGAAAGGCGAAGATGTCCCGAGCGACACGGAGACTGCGTCGGAGTCATCAGCGGAGGGTGGAGCCCCGAAGCGCGATCTACCGAACGGGGTCTACGAAAATGAATCTTCGTTTTCCTCCTCGTCGACTCTTCACCTCGCTGGGCAGTCAGATACCACCACGAACGGGAAGGCTCCAGTATCCGAACCTGCTCCCGGGAAAGAAAGCCCGGTCTTCATGTCACCCGAAACGATCACGCGTCAGACGTTATCCGATCACCTATTCACTTACGATAACCCCCCTCTAGATCTGCTGGTCCGGACATCCGGAGTGGAACGACTTAGTGATTTCATGCTCTGGCAATGCCACGAGGATACGGAGATCGTCTTCCTGGACATCCTGTGGCCGGACTTTGACCTGTGGCAATTCATGCCAGTGTTGTTAGGCTGGCAGCGCAGGATCTCAAAGTCGAAGAAGAATCCGGACGCCGAAGGGAACTTCGACGGCGATACATCCGACTCCATTGAGGAGAGTAATGGTAAGGTCAAAGACCTGTAGTTTTATGTGTGTGTTTTTTCCCGCGTTGTATACATGGACTGGAGATCATCGGGCGTTTGGAGTTCACTCTTTGGAGCATTGATGAATATCCCCCCATTTTGGTATTTAGAGCTTATAGCATCGAGCTGGAAAAGTTCAGCAGGCATGTAGATACATGCACTGCCCCAATATACAAGACCGCTCTTGGGTTGGGACCGAGGCGGTCACCTCACGAAATCATCAACATCATTAAAAACATTAATACCGTCAAGTAATGCCGGGTAGCTAATGGAAAGCCCCCGATATCTCAGCCTCCGATACCGCATCCGACCAAGTGGGCGGCCCCACGTGACTCGGCGGGGATCCAGCATCAACAGCAACGGTGACTCAGTCCAATTCCTCTCCTGTCACTATCTCCCTTTTTCGAATAATTAATCCCCGGATTGTCCTCCATTGTCATCATGCCTGTCGCCGGTTCTAAGGTTCTTCTGTTGGGCTCGGGCTTCGGTAAGCCTTCAATCTCTCCCCCATTATCTGCTCCGCCGATTCGGACCCCGCATTAGGGGATGATGACTCCATCTCACTGACACCTCTCTCCAGTCACCAAGCCCACCGTTGAGGTGCTCAGCAAGGCTGACGTTCACGTCACTGTCGGTATGTTTCCCTCTAATTTTATCAGTCTCAATGCCAATTACCCTTCCCTTACGCACCATTCCAATGCCGTCCACCTAGCTAACCATCGTCTACTACCCCAACAGCCTGCAGAACCCTCGAAAGTGCCCAGAAGCTCAGCGGTGATTTCAAGAACTCCAAGGCCATCTCCCTCGATGTCACCGATGATACTGCTCTCGACAAGGCCTTGTCGGAGCATGACCTGGTCATCAGCTTGATCCCCTACACCTTCCACGCTACTGTCATCAAGTCCGCCATCCGCACCAAGAAGCACGTCGTCACCACCTCCTATGTCTCCCCCGCCATGATGGAGCTGGACGAGGAGTGCAAGAAGGCCGGAATTACCGTCATGAACGAGATCGGTCTGGACCCTGTACGTACACCCCCGATCCCCTATACCATAGCCCCAGCTAACCCAACATACAACAGGGTATCGACCACCTCTACGCCGTCAAGACCATCTCCGAGGTACGCTTAACAGCACCCCCAATGCCCTCAACTCTCCCACTTACACCTCCCCCTTAGGTCCACGCCGAAGGCGGCAAGATCACCTCCTTCCTCAGCTACTGCGGTGGACTGCGTGAGTATCCTCCCCTCCTATAACAACTCAACATCCACTAACCTATACACCGCCAGCCGCCCCCGAATGCTCCAACAACCCTCTCGGCTACAAGTTCAGCTGGTCCAGCCGTGGTGTTCTCCTCGCCCTTCGCAACGCCGCCAAGTTCTACAAGGACGGCCAGGAATTCAGCGTTGCCGGTCCCGACCTGATGGCCACTGCCAAGCCCTACTTCATCTACCCCGGCTTTGCCTTCGTCGCCTACCCCAACCGCGACTCCTGCCCCTACCGTGAGCGCTACGACATCCCCGAAGCCCAGACCGTGGTCCGCGGTACCCTCCGTTACCAGGGCTTCCCCGAGATGATCAAGGTTCTTGTCGACATCGGATTCCTGAGCGACGAGGGCCGCGAGTTCCTCAACGGCCCCATCGCCTGGAAGGACGCTACCAAGCAGATCCTCGGCGCCACTTCCTCCGACGAGAAGGACCTCGAGTGGGCCATTGCCTCCAAGACCGCCTTCGCCAACAACGACGAGCGCGATCGCATCATCTCTGGTCTTCGCTGGATCGGTCTCTTCTCCGACGAGCAGGTCACTCCCCGTGGCAACCCCCTCGATACTCTCTGCGCTACCCTCGAGAAGAAGATGCAGTACGCTCCTGACGAGCGCGATCTCGTCATGCTCCAGCACAAGTTTGAGATCGAGCACAAGAACGGCCAGAAGGAGACCCGCACTAGCACCCTCTGCGAGTACGGTGTTCCTGGTGGATACTCCGCCATGGCTAAGACCGTTGGTGTTCCTTGTGGTGTTGCTGTTAAGCTGGTGCTTGATGGTACTATCAGCCAGAAGGTATGCGATAACCTATTTTCTTTCTTTTCTTTCTTTTCTCTTTTGGTTGTGTTGAATTTTGGCTATATTGTCTTGGATTTGGATCTGTCTGGTTTGATGAGATGGACATTGCTAACCATTGCTTGTAATTCTTATAGGGTGTTCTTGCTCCCATGACCATGGACATCTGTGCTCCTCTGATCAAGACCCTCAAGGAGGACTACGGCATTGAGATGATCGAGAAGACTCTGTAAAGAGTTGGCTCTCTCTTACGATATACTAACGACTTGACAATGGGTGGGTGTTAGAAAAAAAGTTAATAGGGTAGACTTGAAAAATAGTACTTGAATTTTGGATCTATTCTGGTTGTTTGTAGAGATCAGGAGTCATGTTTACTTGTAACGAGTACCAGATTTGTAGAGGAATAGTCTTGGCTTTCTTTCGTTATCAGTTCGTCTTACTTATGTTCATGGCCTTTCTATCGTGCATTCGTTGGACACATACCCCCGCTAGATTGGAGGGCGGCGTTATATATCAGGTGAGGTAAGAGTGAGTCGGCGCAAGATGCCTGTTCCCAGAAAACAACAGATTGTATGTATCAAAATCGCAGTTTGCCTCTGCCTTCTACAGGACGCGTTGATGCAGACAGAATGCTTGTCGCCCTCGAACCCTAAATGCTGATTTTATCATGATGCTATCATGGATTCGCGGATGCGTTCAGAGAATAGTGCCAAACCTATACCAAGAACAAAAACAATTATCAGCAACTGTCTCCAAGCAAACAGAGAGGATCTGGCAAGCCATGGTAAGGAAGCAATTGGCTAGAGGCAAGGCAAGGGTTAGGACATACCCGAAAGTCTGTTTGATGCTCCGGACGTAGTACATGTCCCAGTTCTGTTTGGTGACATCCTCCTGGCCGATAGGAACACCGGTCCAGGTCACGCGCATCTGAGTCACGCCGTCGACATCGTTCTGGTCGAACTTGATCTCCAGCGTGCTGAAGTGGCCGGCGGGCCACTGGGCCAAGCGCCACTTCTGCACGATCAAGGTAGGAGCCTCGAGCTTAACGTACTCGCCGTTGACGTTGCCATCGAAGATAGCGAACTTTCCACCAACGTGAGCGCCGTCAAACTGACGGGGGGCTCCGCGGGTGAACGCAGCAATGCGCTGGGGGTCAGTAAAGGTGTTGTAGAGCTCTTCGGCCGTGGTGCGGAACTCGTCCGAGCCGGTCACGGTAGTAGTGTTGACCGCGACCTTGTCCGTGGTGGTAGTGGTAGTGGTCTGAGGAGCGGGGGACTCATTCTTGGTCTGAGGGTGGTACTTGGGGGCAGTGAAGCCGCTAGAAGGGTTGACCCCGGGGGCATGCTGGAGATCCTTGCCGTGCTCAGCGATCAGGGCAGGAGCAAGCTTGGCCAATTCCTGTCTGAGTTGGGGAACGAGCTTGGAGCGGACCAAATCCTTCACGGGCTGCTTGGAAGAAGAATCCGAGTGGTTCTCAATGTCGAACTAAGGGCCACCGGGTCAGCTAGGTGGACCTTCATGGACATACGAGGGCTAAAGGGAACATACGACGTACTCATCTTCCTCGGTGTCGTGGGCAACCTCGGGGATGGTAATAGTTCCACTAACGGACTCCTCGTCCTTAGTCTTACCTGTCAAAGGTCTTAGTGGTATGCCCTGAACAGAGAAAACACTAATCTTTTACGAACCTTCATACTCCAGTTGTACTTTGACATCGAAAAGGGTGATGACCTTGCCCTTTCTCTGACTGACGTCTACATCGCCATCCATGGTCAGCAGTGAGGAAATCTTGGCGGAGGCTCCATTTTCCTCCACGGAGAGGACACAGAGGTGCTCTTTAAGGTAGGCCTTGGCCCAGCCAGAGGCGTCCTTGTTCACCCAGTGCCAGTTGTTGGGGTTGTGAAGAACCATGATGGTGGTAGTTTATTTTTATTATGAATTGGTCTAAGGATTTCGTTGCAAAGAAAAGCTGCTCTATTGCGGGGCTGAACTTCGCTAGTGGGAAAAAATCTTAGCGAGTCTCCTCTTCTTCTTCCTTCTTTCGCCAAAGCTATGTTCTGTGTTATCGCAAACACAATTAGCATGAATTCGTAGTCATCAGAGACAGACAGATATCAAGATTGAGTGTATGCATCGTTTCAGGATCAAGGATAGCGTTCCTCGACCGCAAGCTACTCAGCATTGAAGATGAATTCGTAAAAACATCTCCGTCTGACTGGTGCCAGCTATGAGTTCTCATCATTCGATGGGATCTCCCTGTTTAACGCGGGGGTCCTTGTAGAGGAACCGCCCAGGGCAGGGAGGGAGACAATGGGAAGATCGGGGGGGGGGAATTTCACGGTGGACTTACAGTCACGAGCAAAACGTCTCTCTTCAAAGACGCTGTAGCGAAGATAGATCAACCAAGTCCTGAGTGACAATGGTAGGCAGGAGCAAAGAGTGAGGTACCGTGGAAGCGGAGGGGAGAGGGGGGGGAACCCGTATTAAATAATACTTGGGCCGGTCTACGGGTGGTGAAGAAAGGCAAAGGGGAAAAAGTCGAGGATGCGGAAGGAAAGCTCTAGAAGCCGCAGTGGGTCACGTGGGCGCATTAGGTCAGCGGCCCCATCACGGGCCGGAAAAACAATCATACCAAGAACGGAGGTACCTACGGAGTATCATGTAGACATCAAGACAAATGCTTCATTGTAACGGAGTAATAGCAAACGAATGTGGGTATCTTTCAGCGACACAAGATCAAGCGGCGAACAGCAAAGGAACATAATTGGGGAAGCCCCTCAAACTAAACCCTCGATATCAATCATCACTCGTTGCCCAAGTTGCCATCCATCCTCACGCTTGCTCCAGCTGCTCCATGTCTTCCCATCCATCTTCCACCAGCAGCTGTTCTTTGACCCGTTCGCGTAATTGTTGGATTTCACTCCCCAGAGCTTCCGCCCATTGACCTTCCACCGTAGCCACCTTGTCCTTCAGATCGCTGGTCAATGTGCGCTCTTCATCAGTCCGGGACTGCTGCATCTCCCGCTGCACTTTATTCTCTCCCTCACCCAGGCGAATTCGCTCAGCCTCCATCAGTTTGCAGTTGGCTCTCATAACAGCAGATTTGACCTCGTGCAGTAGGCAGAATAAGTTGATTTGGGACTCGATGTATTGGTAGCTAGACTTTTCGGCATGAGACACCAGGGTGTAGAGGTACTGCAGCGGATGTGGACGGTAACTCGGGTTCTCGTCATATTCGTTAGCAGGGATTTGTATCGTGAAGCCGCGGAGTTTCTCGGGAATCTGCTGCACCAAAGCTGACAGCGACGGTGCAATATCCCAGAAAGCTGACAGCTGTATTTCGACCCCTCGAGCCACATTCTCCTCAATTACATCCAGGAAGGATTCGAGGCGAGCCAAAGAATCAGTCTCAAAGTTGACCCGGCGGTCCAATGCATCTGTGACAAAGAAATCATTGGTCTCGCGCACTTTGTCCTCGTTAGATGCCTGCTTATAGGGAAGGAGGACCACGGCTCTGTATTTCTCATCCCGATCACTGATTAGATCAAACACCTCGCGGTGCAACTGCTCGCGTGCTTCAAATAACCACTTGAGCTGCGTAAGCTTTTCCAAGAGCTCTGGCTTTTCATCTCCTTCCTCCTGTGTTTGATCGGGTGTTTCAGACCGGGCGTCGTCGAACAGTTTGCCGCGTAACTCATCAATACAAGCCGTAGCCCTGTCGATTCGATCTGTGAGAATCCCACGCATTGGCTTCAGAACGGATTCTTGGTAGGTATCCAGCCCGCTCTTGGTCAGCTCCCTTTCAAGTCGATTCTCTTCGACGATCAACGCGGCCTCTGCTTCCGCGGCTTCTGCGAATGTAATACTGCCTTGTTGAATCTGACTTTGAATGTTGGCTTTGAACTGCCGACGACCTTCTTTGACTCGTGCTTGGTGGTCTTGAAACGAGCCATCCATCTCTGTTTGGTGCCGTTGTCTGGTAGCCTTGATCTCGGTCAAGTCTGTTATTGATCGGACCAACGTGCGGTAGGTAACGAGGTCAGGATGGCTATTGTTGACAGCTGGATAGTGCCTGGGGTATGGCGGTGGCAAGGTAACCAGTCTGGAGACGTCCATTTTCTGTGCATCTTCGGATCGCCTAACATATCCAAGACGAACAGAGTCGGGGCAATCCGGCAGGGCAGGCTCCTCGTGCCATCCAACTTTCTCAGGGGGGTATTCATCAGGGCCGTACGCAGCGTACTGATTTGCTCCATTTGACGCGCCAGCATTCCCCGTGTCTGACGAGGCTTGACTTTCTTCCCATTGCAGGGCTCCACGCGATAACCCCATGTATTTGGTTTCCCTCTTTGACCGCTGCACTCTTCGCTCTCCCCCCTCACTACTAGACCCGGTCTTTGACTCCCACCAACGGCTAGGCGCCCGTCCTCTTGAACTCATTTCATCATTGCTCAACCCGAGGCTTGCAATCGGCGAGAGGCACGGTTTGTAGTTGTTCCACCACGCGGACTCGGGGCGTGTCTGAGGTATGTCCAGTTTGGGTACTCCAGGATTGGACGCCCTCCTGGAAGACGGCCCAGGTGCTACCTGGCTAATCTGCTGTGCCAACACTGGTTTTGGGGGGCATACGAACAGTTTACGGCAGACGTCTTCGACATCGAAAGAATCGAGATTCCACACTTTAGCGTATCTCTCACGTCTAATCTGGGACTCCAATATAATAAATTCGGCAAACAACCGCAATGCATCTTTTTCGTCCAGGGAGTCGGCCTCCTTTTCAATGAACTCGCGATGTCTTTGCATGGCATTTCGCACAAATTCGTCATCGCGGTTAACAACAGAGTCAAGAGAAGGCCCTTGCTGTGTTAACGCGCGACGTGGGGCTAAGGGAGAGACCGTAGTGACAGTATCGTTTGGCAAGTGCAGTATATGCGAAACCGGTCGGTCTTCCTTAGAACCGGGTCTGGAAGGCGTTGTGTCCTGTCCGGATTGTAGCGGGGGCGTTGGCAATGCTTTGGGGGGCAATGCTGGCGATGCTCGCTTGGGAAACGTAGACGACCTTTCCGTGCCTGGGGAAAACGGTGGTGTCTGCGCAAACCCCGAAGTCAAAGTCGGCCCCTGAGGGCTCGGCTCTGCCTTGGGGGTTGAGCAGGATCGGTTTGAAAACAAGCCTCCGGAAGAGGCTCTAGATCGTGATGTGACCTGCGGCGGCCCATCAGAGCCGATGCTGCGAGTGCTGTGTGGTGTGAATTTTGCGGAAGCCTGGGTTCGAGCATTATCCGAATCCATGCTCGATTCTCCTAGGACCAGGTTGGATGGTTTGAGCTGCTCAAGAGCTTCAGCCCAAGGGTTGCTACTCATGGAGACAGCACTGAGGTTATCGAACACCTGGCTTTGCCTGTTCCGACGTTCGATCCTCCTTTCTCGAATGCCTTTGGCGTTCGGGTCCTTGATAGCTGGGCTCCTGAAGAGGCCACCACTATTGGGGTTTTGTGACGTGCGAGAAGACTCGAGAGATTCTGGTCCGCTCGCATTCGATGTCGTCGCCGTGTCAATGGTAAGTGGCAGCCTGTCTCCTTTTCCTTTAGCATCAGTCGACCCTTCATCCACCCAACCAGCTGGTGTTGGTGGAATACTGTCCAAACTTGTGCCAAGGACCGGAGGAGGCCGCGCCCTGCCTGTTCTAATAGGAGCTTGCGAATTCCGGATGGAGGATCCATCGGATAACCCACTCACACTCTGTGATCTTGTTGCTGGTGGTGGCCCAGGAGGAGGTGGTGGAAGAGGCATCCCCGGCTCCCAACTAGTTCCCGAAGGGGACCGGGTGCCAGATTGACTATGGGCCCTTGAGGAGCTCGCGCTATTCACGGCAGGTCCGGCAGAAACAGCTCTTCTTGCAGCCGGCGGCCGGTCCATATCAAAAGATTGCGCAGTCTCAAACAGGTGGTTCTCATCAGTCAACTGTATGGAACGTAGGTTTTCTGGCGAAACAACAATGTGCGGCCTCGATCCTGCCATGACTGTGGCTGGTTCTCCATAGGTATCCGCCCTATTTTGAGAAGAGGACCTAGATGAAATGTTTGGTGGTAGCGGTGGAGGCGGAGGTAGCGAGACTCGTCTATTGTGGCTCGTCTCACTTGACACTGCCATGGATAGAGGGCGAGTCCGGGGAAGTCGGCGTTGTCGATATTCCAATGGAGCATCCCGTACCGCTCCGTTAAAGGAAGAGCTAAGACTTGGCGATGTCGAGCCCATTGAGGAAGCATTCTGGCTGCCATTGTCTCGCTGATGTTGTTGGCTTGGAGGTGAGTAGGGTGGTGGTGGCGGCGATAAAGAAACATCTACATCGCTCACATTAGGCTAGGTTCTGGCTGCTGAAGACATAAACTGCCAGAGACATCCACAACTACATCACATGTACATATAGAAGGGGTATCATGGCATTGGGGCGAGGAGAAAGGGGAGCAAAAGATATAGGACGACAGACCTGACCGTGGCCCGGTTGACCGTGGCTGGGAGACGATCCGCAGCATGTTATTCGTTTGTGGATATGTAGATTGGCCAGCATGTATTGACCCATTGCCCACGGGACCCCAATCTTGGGGATTGTAAGGCACGTTGTATTGCCTCGAAGCCATTGGTGACGATCCGATTGCGGCCCCTCCGGGTGAGGCGACGGCGGGAGAGCCTTGAGTGAATGGGCTGGACAATGAAGTCGACGAGAGAGGCGTGCCTGTGTAGCCTGCCCCCAGCGCGAGCCCAAGTCCTTGGAACTGATGGCCACTTAACGTTGTCGTCAGAGGAGGGGGCTGTAAGGCATGCTCTCGACGACTAGGAGACGGTTGGTTGCTGGTGGGATGAGGTGTCGGCCAGCCGCTGAGGGGATATGCACCAGACCGCGGCTCGTCGCCAGCATTGCTCGAAGATCGCCAGCTATAAAGAGGCTGTGATCAGTACCTTTGCACTGTCACGGAACAGACACGGGAAAGAGACGAAGACCACGGCAGGTGAGAAAAGCTGGGCGCACCTATTCATACTAACGGAAGGATGCAGGGACAACCGAACACGGAGCCATGGCTAAGGGCTGAGGGCTGAAAGCAGGAAGAGATTAGAGATTCTGCCAACACGACCGGTGATTGAGAAGGAGCAGGAGCCAGAGGGCTGAAGCGCAGACCGATTTCTATTCTTTGCAATAGCAGCAGCAGCCTGGCCCAACCAGAGGCGGCGGCGGCTTGCAGGCGTAGGAGACCCAGCAGGTCCAGTCGGTATGTATCAACCGTTCGACGGGCATCGTGGGATCGATCCACTTCGCGCGGAGACAACGAGCTGCATTCTGGGTATAAAAATAGTATACGAGGCAGCAGGCCGTGGGCGGGGATGAGGAAAGGGTGCAGGTCTTGACTCTTCAGAGGACTAGTGCATCCCGCCAGCTGCAGCCCGGCCGGTTTGATCACAGGCGGCCTGAGGCCGGCGCGTAACCCTCGTCCTCGCCCTCTCACAGGCCCGCCGCCCTCCAACCAGCGTCCCTGTCACATCAACCATGACCAACATGGTAAGGCCACCCAGGCCTCGCAGTAGCCCAGACATCACACAGGGTCCGCGATGGGGCGAAAGATTTGTCCGCTGGCTAATCGCAGTCACCGTAGCCAGGGCACGGGACGGCGTCGCCTCAGGCTATCAGCGCCTACGCGGGATTACAGGATACAGGGTCATGGAGATAACTGCAAGTGGGACAAGGAATGGACTCTTATTATAGTACCAAGTCGGACTACTGCACGCTAGAGATCCTGGCTGGGAAAACACGCCAGCATGTTGCACGACTGCTGACCCGCAGTGAGCAAATCCCTGCCCAGGTGGATTGGGAGGTGATCGATCCAGAATTGACCCCTATAATATTACTGAAGTCATGTCAGCGAGACTCCTATCATCGTATATGATGAAATCAACGAGTTGGAAGGGTATCAGATCAATGCCCTGTCACAGGCGGTGGTCATCAAGGTAAAATATTTATGTTGACCGTCGTGATTAAATAATAGTAAATCATCATATAAGGAATGAAGGGTATGCGAGTAATAGAAAAGCTGGCAAGTACTCACATTCAAGTCTATGGTTGAAGGCTCCGCACTAGCACAAAACTACTGATGTCTACCAGGCTGGTCAGTCTCCATGGATGCGCGAGGTACAAAAACATGTGAAGACAACGTGACTGATCAGTCATGACGATTGTCGTCCCGGTCGACAGAGCCAACTTGGACATATGCTTGTCTTTATTTTATGTCGTATCATCATTGTGCCATGGGGGGCAGGCGAAGAAACAGAAGTGGCAACATACAGGTACCTCTTTATCTGAGCCATTTGTGTTTGGCCAAGGAATGCCAATCGTAGAAGCGCTTCTAAGAGCTTTAAAAGGAGTCAGCAGTTGTCTTCAACATGCGAAGCAGTAATTGATCTGAGAACAGATAGTTCAGAAATGCATGAATGGTATAAAAAAGATGTTGTCTGCATCGATAACTCGAATAAGACTCGTCATCTAGGGAATCATCCTTGTACTGGGGGGGAACGCGGGAAGGGTTGGAAATTACCTTAGAGATACAGCATGGTTGAAGATAGATTGCGACAGAACATCGGCTGCTGTTATCGCCAGTTAGCATCAAGCCAAGAGGTTGCTGGATACAAATAGCGATTCTCGAGCAATATCTCAGTGGGCGAGGTTTTCTAGGCCTGCCGCAAAGAGGCATATCCATCAAGACCGGACGCTATGTCTTAACGCCGTCGGAGCCCAGTGCCGTTTCATCTTCGAAGGGGTATGATCGATGAAAGAGGGGGTTAAAAGCTTACTCTTTATCGATCAAGCACCGAGCATGGTGAAGTGGTTTTGAAATCTGAAGAATCTTGTGACTGTTAGCACATGCCAAGTACATCAATGATGAAGACAATGCGAGAACAATATTGACTGATCAGAAATAGCCATTTGATATCGTCGAGGACCGTAAGGTCTCAGTCGGTAATTTCCAGCGTATATAATACGAAGAGCATCATGCAAGTCATGGGAAAGATTGAAGGAAAGGAAACAAAGTAGACATACCAATATAACAAGATGCCATTGCGTCGAAAGCTAAAAAGGTGTATTAGTGTCCTATGAAGGCAGTTAGCAACCTGCTTCAGACACTCCAGTCAAGAATAAGATAATCATGTCTTGAGCCAAAGCATCAGACTGACGTGCAAAACAAGTGAGTTTTCATGCCCTGAAGGGGTCAAAGACTCTAGTTTGAAATGGTTGTAGGTATCATCACAAGAGGGGGTTGAAGGCAAAGAAATAGCACTCAGGCACTTACCAAATGATCCTGTGCATCGAAGCCAGATATGTCAGTTCAGCAACGGAGATGAGCAAAGTCACAGCGTGTGTATTTTCTCTACAGATGTGCGATGCATGCTTCCACGGGCATTCTAGGAAGGCATCGCACTGTGTGGGATGTTGTGTGGAAGAAAGCTGAAAGAAAGCCGCGTCGAACTTTTTCAAGCTTTCCGATCGGAGCTAATTTTACCGAGAAGCTAGCCCCAATATGGTCCGAGACGAGCCGCTGAGCTGGTTAGGTAATCAGCTTTAGCCGAGAAGCGGTTCTGCCAATCCTCGTGCTATTTGGGCAGGCGGAAGTGAAGGCGGCGAGAGGATCCCGTCTCACCTTCCGGTTTGGATTCGGTTTCCCGACCGTTGAATTGACATCTCTAGCGGACTTGGGCATCAGTCTCATTGCTGCTAGACCACTAGCCTCGGTCGAAATGCCCGACCAGGGTTTACCATGCACGAGATCTATCCCTTGTGGATTGACGGAACAAGTGGTTCTACTCCGGGCCTTCAGGAGGGACCCGGAATCGAGGGATTGAACAGAGGGGGGCGAGACCCGAATAGTTCGGTATAGTTCGACGCGGGATCGTCAAAATTCGCATGTCTGCTGACCACCAGAAATCCACCTGCCGCGATTAGGTGCAATGGGGCGTGGGATATCATTCTAACTGCGCTTATGCGACATTTTCTTTGAGCCCCTTAAACCGAGCCGACGGATTCAATAGTCTAGTCGACCCATGTTAGGGGGGGGGAGGTGGGTTGTTGTCGCCATTGCTACCTGCAGACAGTACAGAGGGACATTCTGGCTACAATTTACACTCTACACAGTACACGAATACGATACTGCTTATACTGCTTATACCATTGAGTACACGGTAGTGATCTGGGGTCGAGACTTCTAGGCGGGGAAACTCGGGGGCAACTCGGGGACAAGGCAAGAGAAAGAGCCGGGAAGCTACCCGAAGGGGCTTAGGGTGGGGGGAAGGGGAAGAATGACGAAAACCATCGTCGTCCAGTTATTGCGTCAAGGACCCAAAGCCTGGAGCTGGACGGTTCTCGCCCACCCTGTTTCTCCCCTTCTGACGTTAGTCCCCAGTCCACTGCATTCCCGGGAAAAGATTGCTCCTGGCTGGCCGGATGCCCTTAAAGGATGCCCCTGGTCTCCATGGCCATGGCTGATAGATCAGCTTCTCCTGCAGCTTCTATCTATTGCCAACTGTCCCTCCTCCACCCGGTCAAAGTGCATATAAACCGTCCACCAGCTCTCCCCTCCGTACCCTGGTAATCTCCGCATCTTCCTGCTTTCCCCGTTGTCCCGAGGTTGAAAGTCGCCTTCAAAAAGAACCCCCGGTACCCAGATCTCGATCATCTTTTGCGCTTTGTCATTTCACTTTCCACCACGACCTACCTGTATCACACCACACACCACACAACATGTCTGGAAACGGCAATGGCGGTGCTCCTCCTGTAGGACAGGAGAAAATCAACACTGACATCGTCACTCTCACCCGGTTCCTTACGGAGGAGCAGGCCAAGGTTCCAGAGGCCACCGGTGATTTCACGTGAGTCTTCCCCTCTCTTGTCCCTCTGCCGTGGGATTTCACTAAAGGGGATCCTCTCTTGCCAGACTACTCTGCCACGCTCTTCAATTCGCATTCAAGTCCATTGCCTACTACATTCGTCGCGCATCACTTATTAACTTGACCGGCTTGGCGGGTTCCTCGAACACAACTGGCGACGATCAGAAGAAGCTTGACGTCATCGGAAATGATATCTTCATCTCCGCAATGAGGGGCTCCGGTAAGTGCCGTATCCTCGTTTCTGAAGAGGAGGAGGAGGCCATTTTGTTCGACGAGCACCCTGACGCCCGCTATGCTGTCGTCTGCGACCCGATTGACGGTTCCTCCAACCTTGACGCTGGCGTCTCGGTTGGCACCATCTTCGGTATCTTCAAGCTTCCCGATGAGGTCCTCGGTTCCCAGAACAAGGTCACTGCCCAGGACCTTCTCCGCGCCGGCACCGAGATGGTCGCCTCGGGCTTTACCATGTACGGTGCCTCCGCACAGCTGGTGATCACCATGCGCAATGGCGGTGTCAACGGTTTCACTATGGAGAACTCTCTGGGCGAGTTCATCCTGACCCACCCGAACATGCAGCTACCCGCCAAGCGGGCCATCTACTCGGTCAACGAGGGTAACAGCATGTACTGGGACGAGTGGGTGAACAAGTACTTCCACTCCTTGAAATTCCCCGGCGAGGGCCAGAAGCCCTACAGCGCACGTTACATTGGTAGCATGGTTGCAGATGCTTACCGAACCCTCCTCTACGGCGGTGTTTTCGCCTACCCAGCCGATACGAAGAGCCGCAAGGGCAAGCTGCGTATCTTGTATGAGTGCGCCCCCATGGCGATGCTCTTCGAGAATGCGGGCGGTTTGGCAGTGAACTCCCACATGGAACGCCTCCTGGAGGTGGTGCCAGAGCACATTCACGACCGGAGCGGTGTGTTCCTCGGCTCAAAGGATGAGGTACAGAAGATCATCGACACATACAACCAGCACAAGAATTAAGTTCGTCGCGCAATGAAGCAGCACTAGGTTGGAGTTTCATAACTCAACGGAATGATACTTAATGCGAAGTCTGCCAGTGTGTCCAGCAGGTACCAGGTGAAAACCTCCTTCACACTGACATGTCATTTATGATCCACATACACTTACATATATTCAAAATGCACATAAAAATTCAATAATATACAATCCCTCTCCATTGTAAATAAAAGTCACGCGACCTTTAACTCCCAAATAAAAGCCATACTCCACCCCTTCCTCCCCCAACCCCTCTTCCCCAATTTTTCAGGAATAAGAAAAATCTCACCTGCGACTCAATTCCATCTCCTCCGTACGGAGGACTTCCACCCCGTCGCACAAAGATTTCCCCGACCGTAAAATACAGATACTATGGTAAAAGCCGTGACAAGGTTGTATACGAGAACCCTATACCCCATACCGAACCGTAATTGGTGGAATAATTCCCTCACTCCACAGCCCGCTCGGGAAAGATTCCTTAGGTGAATTTCGCTCCGCTTCCATCCTCAAAATATATATCGGTCCATCTTGTTTTTTTTGTCCAACAGTTTGGTACTACTATGACGGACGTGTCTTGGTCTAACTAAGTGGTAGTACTACGTACGATCTTTTGGATGATAGATAGTCAAAAATTGTTAGATTGTTCTCTTCTGGAAAAAAAAATAATAAAAAAAGAGGGAAAATTCCCATGTTGACCGAATGGGTTTCTACTGATATTTTGTCGGGTTTTTTGATTTACGTCTACGACGCAACTGGGTTGGATCGGATTGGATAGTATACAATTTGACATATACATTTCCGATCATCTAGTAGCACAGCCAAGAGAGAGGGAGGGAGGGAAGAAGGATGGCTAAGACGCCATGAATATCTAGATTCAAGCGATTCCCCGTGGGGAATAGAATAATAGGACATCCTGATCCAATAGCGAAAGGAAAGACGGTGACATTTGGACAAGAAAACAAAATAAGAACACTAATCGACAGGATCCTCTTCGAGGAGGGTCTTAAAGCTGAATGGGATAAAGGGTATACCTTCACCCATGAAATGTTTGCTCATGGCTTCGACCCAGTGCAGACGGAGGGAGTGAAGCATGGCACTGGTACCCTCCATGACACAGAGAATGGCGATGGTCAGAGTGAACCAGAGGTAGAAGGTGACGACGATCATGATGACCCGGATAGTAGGAGACTCCTGCTCGAAAGCACCGCCAATAGTCATGTCCCACAAGACGATTGAGAGCTGTTGATGAGCCAGAGACAGAGCCCACAGACGCAGGTAGGAGGCAGTGTGGGAGATACAGTTCAAACAGAATTCGATGGTGTGGATGACCTGGTGGATCATGAGCTCAGAGAAGTCGAACTCCTCGTGTTCCTCCTCGTCGCCGAGGTCCTGGGCAATCATGGCAACACCCTCACCATCGCTAGCCAAGCTGTCGCGAGGCCGACCATCCAAATCGGCATCGTCGAGAGCGCTGACCCGAGAGGGCTCCCCAAGGCCACGGTATCCAAGAGCGCGGGCGCGGTTGTGTTCCCAACGAAGGTAGAAGGGCTTGAAGAAGAGCATGACCGGCACCTGGGCGACAGCAAGAAGCAACAGAACAACCTGGACGCCGGCCTGACCGGGGTAGAGTTGTTCCTGAACGTCTCCAGGAGAAAGGAACATGAAGATGAGCATGTTCAGAAGCCCTGGCGGCGTTTGGCCTTGGGCTGCCCAATCGACAGACCACTTGTAGACGATGGTGAGGACAAGGTAGCCGAAGATGGACTGGAAGAAGATCATGCCTGGAATGAAGTTACCAATGATGTCAACCTTGGACTTGAAGTGCCGAGCATTGACATATTGCAGGCAAAGAGCGTATGTCATCTGTGAAAAAGTCAATGGCCATCCAACCGGGTATTTAGGTGAGGAGCAGTCCTTACGTGAGCCCAACCAAGGCAAATACTCATCTTCATCT